AGCAGAACCGTAACTGAGGCAGACTGTCTGGCTGAAGAGATAGAGCCACATTCTCTATTATGCTCAGTGGCCAAGGGCACTCAGGGAAGCTAACAAGATGCAAATCCTGTTCAATGTGGCCCAAACCTTTTTCATTCCTAAGCAAAGGCCCAGAAAACGTATTCAGTTTGTTGGTGTCATGATATGGCTTCAGACCATTGTAGAATGTGCGACACTAATTTAAATAAATTGCACGTAGCCAAAGAGAACGAGCCGGTTTCATCTTTGTTTAGTCTGAGAGGCTATTTTCGTGATTACAGGGGCCTGATATCATCTTCTCAATTATTGCAAAGCTCAGGAGTGCCTATCATTTACCCTCCAGCAACACTCCCATTGTGGGTCATTTTGCAGCCACCCACCCCCCACACACAACCAATGCAAAGCTGGCTAGGATCTGAGGAAGGAAACCCTGGAAGCAAGGCCGGACCTCGTAAAAGTCTTGAAAGTAAGCAACAAATGCCAGAATGCCCCAGGTTATGTTTAAAGATCCAAGAAAATGCCTTGTACCACACCAAAGGAAGCATATCTCAGTGCCAGGGGCCTCTAGGTCTCCCAGGTAGTGTTTACATCTGAGCCTCCAAAAACCTCTCCAAGTTCCAGGAAGACTTCATTCACTATTTTGCTTTTCTGAGACAGGGTCTCACCATGTAGCTCTCAGCTGGCCTCAAAATTCTAGTGCTTCTGCTTCGACCACTAAGTGCAGGGTGATGGGCTAGGTGGGATTACGGGGTGATGTGGTAGAATTTCCTCCCACAAACCTCTAGTTTAGAGGGATGTTTGTAAAGACAAGGGATACTCTAAGGGAAGGTCAAGTATAATATCCTGCAAGGAAACCCCTTCAATTCAAGGAGTAACAACTCAGGTTTCAGGAAGTCACTGAAACTGGCCAAATATGTTAGGCCCTTCCCTCCCTAGGCTTACATAAGCAGTAAGGACAGCCCAGAGACACTCTGAGACCAGCTGAGTCACCCGAAAGAGACAGTGACCAGCTGACCTGCCTAGAAGTCTCTCAGACACACCGAATTCTTTACAAGAAGCTCAGATCCGCACTATCTGGGAGAAACAGAGACCAACCAAGCTGCCTAAAGGAAGAAAGAACTAGCCAAGCCACCTGGAAGAAGCAGAAATCAGCCCGGCTATTTAGAAGAGGCCCAGACCACCTGTGCCTCAAAGAGACCCTCTCGGACCTCTTGAACTACCTGTAAGCTGTGTGTTATAGTCCAGGTTTCCCGCTTTGGTGAGTTGTCTCCGTGCTGGGGGTGGAGCTGGGGGCTGCGGATGCAGCTGAGTGAGAGTCATCTCTGCTCCTGTAAGTAGCCCCCATAAAGTCATTAGTTTACCAAAATGGACTTTGGTGGTATCCTTCACTTTGATCTGTAGCGGATTCCCTATCTGGGGTGATTGCTCAGGTCTGCATAGGAACAATATCACACAGCACAGAGGTGTACCGCCATTCTCAACTGCGAGGAAGGCTTCGGGAAGAGATTCATGAATGGGTGGAAGAAGGAAACTCCCTAGTGGCTTCTCAAAGGCACCAACCACGCTTGAAAATGCCTTCAAGACTGAGGCTCTCCTTTATAAACAGCTATGCCTGTATAACCATGGTCATACTTCCAGGTCATACAGCAGGGCCTTGAAGTACGATATTTTCTCTAGTGTCTCAGGTAGATTCATGTGCTGCAGTTAAGCAGAAAAAGCTGGCAGAAGCAGCTTCATTTACACAGGCCTAATCCACCACAGTATGATAGCAATGCTGATAGGTACACAGTTTGATCCAAGGACACACAAAGACATTTTTTTTCTCGTGGTTCTAGGAATAAAACCCAGGGCTTTGTGTATGCCAGAAGGCAACCTATACCTTCTCCATTTGCAGACCCGAGAACGTTCTAATCTCCCAGGGACTGCCATTCCGCACAAATAAATTTCATGTAGGCATACAGTTAGGCAAAATGGAAAGAGTAGAAACTCTAGAAGGAGGATATCCCTGTCCTACCATTAAGTTGAGAGTCGACTTATGAGAAAAGTCATGATTTAATGTAGGACAGCGCCATTGTAAAGAAAATCTAATACGTGCCAACATAAACACTAATTCTGTGGTTTAACTTCTACCAAACCCCACAAATGACATAGAAGCCAAGCAGGAAGTAAACACTGGCTTTGTGTCACCGTATTTATCCCTCCCTAATTTTCTATTTATCTCAAAAGTAGAAGTTGTCGGGTCTTTTGACCCTACGATCAAATACTCTCCATATGATGAGACTTATTATCTCTCTTTCCAAAGAAAATAATGCATTGAACTTTCAGATAACTTGTGGTTTGTTTTCTTAAAAAGACTTGTTAACTAGTCATTCAGTTTTAAAGTCTTATATGTAAGGATAGAAATAGAGCAATCTCTTGGCACCTGAAGGGGTTGGCTCAAGGGCATTCTCACCTCTGTGGATATTAACCTCTGCAAATAAGTCCCTTCTATAAACCACACATAACCTATGCCTAGCCCCTGCCTATTTTTAAGTCTTCTCAAATCGCTTGTAATACCTGTGTAGTTGAGAATTACTGTTCTGCTGTATTGTTTAGGGAGTAATGGTCAGACAATGTTCAGTAAGGACTCACTACTACGGCAGACCTCACTGAATAATGGACAGACATCGAATACAAGGTAACAGCTGCAGCTGAATCTTTGCTTTGGGAGCCTTGAGTGCAGGGAGCCAGGTTTGACTTTGAGGACAGTCTGATAAGGCATCAGTCTTTGCCTCAGGGCTTTATGATAACTCTCCCAGACTGACCAGTCAAGCAGATTTTTCTCAAGGACATCATTGCTGTCCCAGCCTTCCTTGTTAGCAGCAGCATAGAAAGGTGTATCTGAAGAACCTGCCAGAATCAACTTTCCCTGTGTAAAATGATCAAGCTAACACTGTCTTTTAAATGTTTGTTATCTAAGATAGATATGGGATAAAGTAAGCAACCTTATTTTCAGCAGTGGTGGGGGAAAGCGGATATTATAATATCTTCTGAGGAGTCCAGGGTTCTGGGATCTCATCTCCAAAGCTCCCTTGGAAGTTGCTAATATTACCCAGTTGGGTTATCTACACTGAATGGGCCATGTTTTTGTGGTGAAGAATTTGGAAAGGAGTAAATTACTGTAGCCTGAAGAGCACACACACACATACAGACCTGCACGTTAACTATCAGCCTCTTCCTAAAGAGTCAATGGATGGAATTCAACTCAAAGGCAGACCAAAGAAACTGTCAGAGCATGAGACGGTGATGACTATACTTTCTAACCCGTTTATATTTAGTGTCCTATGAGAAATTCCTTCTGCTTGTACTTCAGTATGAAATAGAAACTACAATCTCACCAAATAGCAATCCATACAAGCCCACAGTAACATTATGATACAGGAATAATTAATTTAGGGATGCCACATTTTTGACAGATACAGTACTATTTATTATATAGAGTTTTCAAGGAAAATCAAATCTAGGTTTGGAGAGATGTTCCCAGATAAGGAACATCTTCACCTAAACAGATGTTGGTGACGGCATCGCACAAGCCACAATCCAAAATGAGGTCATGGCAACCGAGTGAAATGAAATTCTCCAGAAGAAGGAGGAGAGAAAACAGAGGATGCTAGGCAAAGGAAATGCTGATATGAAGCCAGTGAGCTATGGTGTGAAGCTTCTGTACTCGATCCTGGGTGCAGAAAGCCCTGCCGAACTCACCAAAGTCCATATCTACCAAGGCAGGAGGGAGGCAGAGTCGTTCTTCCTATAACTGATCTTTAATCATTATATGAGCCTGTGTTTGAACAGGATGGAAACGCAATGTGTGTCATAAAGAGCCTATAAAATACCTTATGTCTTTGGTCAAGGATGTGATGGGCACTTAAGACTCATTCCTGCCCTTTTGTTCTTTGGAGTTGAAGGGCAGGTGCTGGCTCTGCCAAAAGGAAATCAACTGGAAATCCAGCACGAAAACTCCTTCCCCGATAAAGGAATCTGGAAATACCAGTTATGCTGAACGAGTTTATAACTATATTCTAAGAATACAGATGTGAAGGTTAAGCTGTATCCTAGAAGGGATAAAAAAGGCTCCAAGTTTTTTTTTTGGGGGGGGGGGGGGCATAGAGGAGCATGCTGTCACAAGAACAACCTTTCATGAATCTTCCAGGGTCTACCCTCGTCTTTAGACTACCAGAACTCCAAATGCCCTGAAATATCCTGTTTAAAACGCATTTGAGAGCTGGAACAGTAGCTCATTAGTTCAGTTGGGGCCCCTGAAAATAAACAAATACATCCCCCAAACCAAAAAGTGTTTGAACCTAATGCTGTCTGTGCCCTAAATAGAGGAAAGGGGTGCAGAAAATGAGTCGGTTGCTCCCTAGAATAGACCGGATTACAGGTAGGAAAGGATCTGGGGTTCACGGAATGCTTTAAAGCTCTGGCAGGAATTTCTTAGGACAAGCTTCCTCCCCGCCCCCCTCTCTTCTCGTCTTGACAGCAGCATGCAGTTTTCAACGTGCATCTATCAAAAAGCCTCAAAAGGCAACATCTCCCTCCTTTAATAAACCGGAGTGTAGCATGAGCTGGGCCAGAGGGTAACTGTGGAAACTAATCCTAAGGGAACCTACCAGAGTAGTCCTTCTAAAAGAAAGAACATTATTATTATTATTATTATTATTATTATTATTATTATTATTATTATTATTATTATTGGAAAGGAAAATAAGTAGAAACAGAGAAAAAAATTAAAAAAGGAGGAAGCCTGTCCCTTCCAAGCTTTTTAAGGTTGCAGACAGAACAGCTTTCTTCTCCAGAGCCAAATGACTTTGCAAGCGTTCCTTGCAAGTTAGGGTCGTCAGGGGTCCGCGGGATCCGGGGAACAGTGCTGACGGGCTGCCAGCCCTGCAAAGCCGCAGCCCTATCTGGGTGCCCGCGCCCTGCACGCCGCCAAGGACACTTACCGTGACCCTCGCGGCTGCTGCTCACACCTGGACCTCAGGCGGCCGCAGTCCCTGGCGCCGGCGTGCCCGCCCCACGCCGTCTCAAGGTCACACCGCTCGGGGACGCCGTCTACGCCGCGGGCTCAGCACAGAGAACGGAGGCGAGGAGCAGAGCTGGCCTCCCGGGCCGCGCCGGGGCCTTCCCTCCGTGTCGTCGGTGCCAGGCTGCTCCCCTCAGGGTCACTTCCATTCTGTGCTCAGTCCCAGAGCGGCGAGACATCTGTTTTCCATAAGCCTCGCGCAGAGGCAAATCCTGGATTAGATGCCAGAGCCCACGCCACAGCTGATCCGCACACAAAGAACCGGGGACAAACACGCAAGTTGGTGCCCAGTTCCAGAACCACACGGATGACTAAGGCGGCCGCAGCCGGGATGCACCAATCCGCGGCCTGCTGGGTTTTCAGGTCTACTGCGGAAAACTCATCCCCCCCCTCCCCCCACTCCTCCCACCCCACTAAAGCACGCTCTGTCCCCGCAGGGGAAGTGACTTCAGCTGCACCCGGCTGAGCGAATTCAAGGCAGCCTGCTTCCACCACCGGGCCTTCGGTATTGAAAGCAAACCCTGCTGAACGCGAGGAAGGGGGACAACGCTCGGCGTTTGCTTTAATTCCATTACATGAATCAAATATGATACAGTCAGCGCTGAAAACGACGATGAAGTGCTGTCTCTGAGGGCGGGCTTTTCACTTTCTGCAGCAGCTCGGGCAAAATAGCTGCCTTCTCCTTGCTTCCCCTCCTCACTTAGGAAGCACGGAGTGGCTACTCTCAAGGGCTGTACAGTTTAGTGAGGGGTAGGCCAAGGAGACTTGGCATTTCCCAATCCTACAAAATTACTGTCAAAGAAATGCAGGGCGGGCTTGGAGGGATTTTCAATCGCTAAGGAATCCGAAGACCCAGCCATCTCCTCCCCACCAAGCGTTTGCGTTTTGGAGCTTAGGCAGATTCTGGAACAAAGAAGCTGGGAATTGATCCTGAATGTAGTTGTATGGGGAGAACGGGAGCAGTGGGGACAGATGCCCTATGGTGGATGACGGGGGAGTTAGGTCCCTGTCCTTGTTTGCAAACCGGGGCCTTGATTTTGGCCGGAAGCTAAGGGACCCCTCTGGCAGATTTCAAGCTGGTAGGTGATGCACTAAGATTTCCACCGCAGAAAGATAATTTCACAAGAGGGGTCCACCTAGGAAGGGAGTGGAGGTGAATTGGAAACGGGGCAAAGACTCCAAAGAGAGAGAGAGAGAAACTGGGAGTTGATGCTCAGGATAGGAAGGGAGTATGTTGGGGGCTGTGGACCCCCTGGACCCAGAATTGCTTGTAAACAATTTCCTCCTGCTCTGAGCGGGTACAGCTGCTCTGAGCAGGAGACTCTGACGGCAGGGGCGTGGTTTCTGGTGAGGTCTGCGAATGAAAGATCCAGGGAGCAGGGGCGTGGCCAGAGCCCTATATAAACTGCCCCTGAGCCCAATAAAGTTGGCACTTTTGCATCAAGGATGTCCGTGTCTCTGTCTGTCTGTGTCTCTGTATGTTTTTAAATCTCTAGCCTGGTTCCCGGCTCGCGTACCGCAGAGTGTAGAACAGGCATTGTGTTTTACAGGAGAAGGTACCAGAACGGAGTTACAGACTGTCGCTTGAGCAGCAGGGTAGATGGAAGGAAATGAAAAAAGAAAGAGGACCCAGAGAAGCCATGGGTGGGTTCACAGAATGATGTCCCAGAAGTTGAGCGTGGTTACTAATGAAAACCGACCACACAGATTTCCAAGGTATTTGGGGACCTGGCTAAGCAAGACAGGCTAGGCAGGTGTGTGGTTAGAAGTTGAAGGTAAAAACAGACAAGGGAAAAATGCACCATATTGGTTTGTTTCAGCTGCCAAAACCAAGTACCAGGAACTGAGGGGGTTAAACAACAGAAATGTGTTGTCTGACAGATCTGGAGCCTGCTGGCCTGTGGTCAACACAAGGGGAGGGGCTTATTTCTGAAAAAAATGCCAGGAAGGGGCTGCTGGAACCTCTTGCAGGCTTAGTATGGCTCCTTGGCTTGTATGGGGGTGGGGGTTAAGACTTCTGCGTAGGAATCTGGAGGAAAGAGTTTAACTCATAGATTCACCCACCTTGAGCAGGGTGAGAGGTTCTAGGGGAGGAAATCCACAGCAGGGGAGCAGGGGAGGTGTGGGCAGAAATGTTGAGAAAGAGGACCAGAAAACAAAGAGGATTTCATTACATTCCAGTCACACACACACACACACACACACACACACACACACGTACACACACCGCTTGTCTGATCATATCTTCATTTTAACACCACCTGGGGATTTTTATTATTCTTTTTCCTTAAGTGTATCTATCCTATATGAATTCATCACACATCAGGTATTTCCTGGGTACAGGCTCAAAGTGCCAATGGCTGTCATGAACACACCCACAAGTACAGGTACAACAACCTTTCAGTTCCTGAGAGCAGGCCCTAACGGTCAACACCTGCCCCTTTCCTTCTAGACTCCTCCCTCCCCGTGCCTCCCTTCTGTCACAGTGCCACAGTCCCTGGGCCCTTGCCGTGAGACCGCTGCCATGTGTAAACTTTGGACCATCTTCAGTGCTATCCACGAAGTTTAGAAAGAGCACAGCAAACACACAGGAGATGGGATTTAGCGCTGGCCTTGCTCCTTTGAAGACTCGACATTTTATTTCCTGTGCTGAAGCCTGAAGCCAAGGCCTTGCACACACTAGGCAGGTGCTCTCCTGTGCGCTACAGCCCCAGTTCTTCTATCAGAGTTTTTTATCTGAGATGGAAAAGGGCCCAGGACTTACTGTATTGCCCTGTCTGGTCTCCAACCCCCCTGACTCAAGCAATCCTCTGTCCTCCGCCTTCTGAGTAACTGGGACTCAGACTTGTGCTCTGGTGTCCAGCTCTTCAATCTTACTTCTTACTCTAAAACACTACTTAAGTAGTCCTTAATCTCAATCCCTCTCCCAACGGCCACTCTTGGAAGGTTAATGACTTCAATAGGCCTTTAGGGGGACGCTCTAGGATTCAGTTCATGACTAGAAGGGTGGAATTCGTTTGGAAATCAGTGATGAAGTTTGTGAAATCGTGAGGGGAAGTTCTGAGGACCCTGGGAGGACCTGACTAGCATTACAGGCAAGTTCAGAGTGAAACCAGTTCCTCGGTGGGCCAGCTTCCGGCCACCACTGCTCATTGACTGGGACCTGCTTCTTCATAGAACCTGCCTAGGATCTAAGACGTCAGATAAACTGAAAGACTTGTATGTGAAGTAGCTGGAAAGAGCCTGCTCCTCCACCACAGCGGTAGCCACTGTTTGCTGAGCACACAGGTTCTGTGCAACACCCTGGCACAGAAGGAGCCAAAACCATTTCCTCTAACAAGGTCTCAGGTGATTGATGTGGGCGAGGGTCACAACACACAGTTAAGTTTCTAAAAGGCTCTCCATAAATGAGTGTGTGTGTGTGTGTGTGTGTGTGTGTGTGTTTGTGTGTGGAAATTGAACCCAGGACCCTGAGCATTTGGAGCAAGTGCTCTGCTACTGAATGATACCCCAGCCTGTCCATTTTCGGGAAAGTGAGAAAGCCTTCATGGAGAGAGGTGGGGAGAGTTCTGGTGACCTGGGTTTGATCTGTTGGAAACCGTAGGAAACTCCGGGTGATTAGTGACATCATGTATTGCTCAGGTTGTCAAGGACCACTGACATTTTTTTTTTAACCCCGATTTCCTCCCATACCACATAGTTAAACTATATTTCCTAAAACCTCCTTTGGTTTCAGCTTACACATCTTTTGTGATGTTGGTTCCTCCTGAGCCTGTTGTGGCCTTTCTTCTCTTTCCCGAGTCCAAATTCTACCCTTCCCTGATTATAAAGTTTAATTGGCCTTAGATGACAATGTCTTGGAAAAGCGCGCGGGCGCGCGCGCACACACACACACACACGTGTCCTGACAACACTTCTCCACTCCAGTTATTTCCCCCTACAACCCCTTTGCTCTTTTATGTGCGCCTCCTGAGGTCTGTGCATGTCTTCTCTGTGTGTGTGCACATGTATTCCCACATTCTTGTGGGAATGGAAACCATAGGTCAACATCACGTATGTCTTTCTTGGTCATACCTACCCTAGACCCAAAGCAACAGTGCCCGGCAACCAGGGACTAAAACTTCTGAAACCATGAGCCAAAATGAGCCTTTCTGACTTAAAAGTCTGTTTAAAGTGGTTATTTCTTACAGTGAGGGGGAGCTGACTAACACGGTTGAGCATTGCAGCTGAAGCAGTGTTAGCATCTCCGTCCGCAGCCAGGCAGCCTGCTGCTGGATCCCACGCACCAGGCCTCCTGGTCAGTGGCTAAGAAAGTACATTCCTTCTTGGAACGAGAAAGCAAGAAGAACTAAACTCAAGTTCCCTTACAGTTAACAGAATACACACTAGATAACAGCCTGGATCCTACAGTCGCTATGTGAGGGAACCAGAGAGGTGTTCCAGGAGCCGCATCAGAGCAAACACACCCGTTTGAAAGAAAGTAACAAATAGAAGTGGCTACAATGATTTTAGCGTCCAGTGGCCACACACACTCAGCTCCTTGCCAGCCCCCTCATCCCGAGACTCACTGGATTTTTTTTTTATACATCAAAAGGAAGAAAATAGGAAAAATTAATCTACATCAATATGGGGGGAAGATACACAATGACAAGTTATCCCTTACCCCAACACGCTAGGTGGGGCTGAGGACACAGCTGGACATGGTTGCTACAGAGGCAGGTTTACAAGTAGCCTTGGAGACCACAGGCGACAGAGATACCTTTCCAACCCATCTTAGAGGTTGGTGGTTGCTGGTCACCAAACCCTTCTGCTTACCCTGTGCTTCTGACTTCAGGTCCTGTCACTATGGGTAGCTTGTCCTTCCCCATGGACCCTGCACTCAGAACCACACCCAGAAGCGTGAGATGGACGGCACCAGATCTGTATATACCACAGAGACCATAGCTGACAGAGCCTATCTGTAGGAAGAGGCTTCCACCAAGACCAGTATTCTCCGAATGCCCATATGGAAGGCAGGGATGCCTGCCCTTGCCCCCTCCCCCCGCTTTCTCCCAGCATTGGTGACAGCTCACACAATGGCACCCTTGGTATATTGCACGCTCTAAGTGTGGGAAGACAGCTGCTTTTTAATGTCTTGTCACTCTCTGTCCTTGTCACATATCCAACACAGCTTCTGGGACTTCTAGGGTCACTGCTGCTGTATAGGGGTCTTCCCATTTTCTGTCGGTAATGTACCAGCAGTAATTAATATTTATGTTATGTCCCCAGTGTGCCCAGAACACAGAAAGGATCCAGAGAAATGACAGCTATCC